ATAAATTATAAACACTCATAGGCTTAAGAGTTACACACCTTGCTCTAGATATCGTAATCAAGAGCCAATTAAATCCAAAATTTTTACTTCTTCACTTTTAGGATTTGTTAAATCTTCAGCCACTCAAGTGTTTGGTTTCTAACAGTAATTCACACAGTAACTGAATAAGACCTTCTCTAAGGTAGGATTTTACTTGTGCTAGTAAGTTTTGTTTCTAAAAAAGGACCAAAATTCTTGCCAAATATTTTTTTTTGTCAAACAAAGAAAACTATTTTTTCTTTTCTTATTTTATGAAACGGTTGAAAAGTAGTTTTTAGGTTTCAAGTTTTTAGTTTGCTAATATAACATATTTATATAGCCAAACTAATTTGTAACCCTAAATACAACAATTATTTTTTAATTTAATTAAGTCTTTAAGAACTTAATTAATTTATCACTTTATTTTGGTCTTTTTCAATTAAGTCCAACTTAATTAATTATCCTTATTTAATCTCAATTATGTCACTTAATGTGTGTGACCCATTAGGCTTCTAAAATTTTAGCAATAAATATAAATCATAATCAAATAACAATTTGATAATTAATTTATATTTATAGATTATGAGCGGTATCTAGTAATACATCATGACTATCCAAATATTAGAGAGTTAATTATAAAATTGACAAAGTCCTGTAGTGATAAACCTCTCAGTGCAATACGATCCTTTCATCAAATATCTTGAATATGTTATGAAGCATGGCTTGGTGTCTACTTATGACATTCCATATTAGTTCTCATAATTCGTGACTAGCCTTATGAATTTAAGAAACTGATTTTCCTCAAATTTATTATGCTTTGGCTAAAGACTTTATACAAGTTAATCAAGAATTGAGAACAAGTGAGACACATCCCCTCATATCACTTGGGGTGATAAATCCTCTCTTGATCACTCATTCACCTTCGCATGCTTCATGACATATCTAAAAACACCCTATTTAGGCATTTGGTTGCTTCCAAACCCGTAGGGGTGAAATCAAAATATGTTATTCCCCATACAAGATGACCTGGTGTTCAAGTCTAAGGATTAATTGCACAACTATCACATGAGAACATTTTTTATAGACACTAGAGTGAAATATCAAATGGAGTTCTCATAGCAGATCATGTTCAATGAACTTGTTCTTTGACAAGCACCTACATATTATCCTCAAATATCACATATAATTCAATCTATGAGATCAATTGCTTACTTTCCAAGTAAAGAGGCTTAATATGTACCAGTCTTTAAACATTGTCAATACCTTATCTTGACAATACAATGATCAGAAACAATTTTAAGAACATAACTTTAATGCATAGTGATCTCATAATTATAACAACTTTATAATTCTTTTGCAAGGCCTTTATGTTCATGGGCTTCATCCAATTAATACTTAATAGCTCCTTATTATTGTACTAACATGAAGGAAAACATCTATCACATAAAATTATGTGATTAAATATGCATTAAATGACAATATATATTTCTTAATCAATCTAATTGGCTCAAGGGCATATACCAACATGACAATAGGAAGTTAATACGCTACATATTTTCAGAGAGGGTTATACGGTAACCAATTGTATGGCTAATAAAGATTTTGACGTAGATAATGACTATATCTTTTATCATGTTTTTCGAGTAGATATTAGAAAAGTATTATTAAAGATATGTCAAGGATTTGTTTTCCTTATCTGATTAGAGTTTAATGAATTTTTTTTAAATTTTTTTATTTACAAATTGATAAATCTTATTAATATTTGCAATAAAAATATGAAAAATTGAATTTAAATTTTTGTGTGATACTATTACCTATAATTGTAAATACTATTTATATAATAATTAAGAATTATTTAAAATGATAAATAATAATTTAGAAATATAATAATTAAAAATATCCGTATTTGTAAAAAACAATTTTTTTAAACATTTTTACATTTATAGATAATTATGAAATATATTGATTTTCGTGAACTAAAAGGTTTACTAGATAAAATATAAGTATGGATCTGCATGATTTAATAGTAACTTCCCAAAAAAACAGAAAGAGCAGCCATGAAATCCGATGGAGGCTAATTTTTAATTGAACAAAAAGGGTTGGTAAAAAGTTGGAAAGGGTATTTGATGACAGCACATTAGGCCAATGATTAAATGAAGGGTTTTTTGTGAGCTTTTGGAATTAAAAAGAGAGCCTGAAAAAGCTAGAAATCCCGCTTTATTCCCAGGCGTGGTAATAAAGCTCCTGTTCTGTTCCAACCCATCATCAAACACAATCATGGAGGCCATGTCTCTCACAGCATGCCCTTTTTTCGCTTTTGTGGCCTCTACTCCTACCGCCATCATTGCCCTTGCCACCTCATTTACCCTCTTTCTCTATCCTGGTTTTTCACCTTTCAACAGAGCCAAACTGCCCCTTTCCTTGCGTCTGCCTTTGAGCTGTGGCTCTTTGGGGTTATGGTTCAGCCCTGTTGGCTTGCGGGCAAAGCTAGGTGACCCATATTTCTTTCTAGGTTTGCAACTTTTTGGTCATAATTTGTGTTGACTTTAATCTTGGAATCTTGAATTTTCCAGCTCTGTTGGGTGGTGCTGTTAAGAAGGCTGATAGCTGCTTTCAAGGCTTTTGGTGCTTGTTTCATCTTGACCAAGTCTCCACCTAATTCCGCCCATTGGAAGCAAATTCCTAATCCAAGATTCTTTGCAATTTTGTCAAAAAGACAGCATTTAAAATATTGGGATTGGAAGAGAACGAGGGGCTAGCATTTGCCTTACGCAAAGGGTTTAAAACATGGCAGGTGGGGTTTGGGCCAAGGTTCAACAGAAAGTCAGTTATGGATTCTGTGAAGGAGTTCTAAGTTGATAACAAACACTTGAAGCAATCAATTTTCCCAAACGCTAAATTGTTTTTCAGCAACCAACCCATGATGAATGGGAGGAATAAACATCAATTCATGGGGGGGTCTAATTGTTTGACCACTTCAATCTCACTAATTGCAACAACTTGCAACTTGCAACTTGCAACTTGCAACCAAACCAAATACTAGTGTTCTTCCTCTCTTTCAAATAAGATGCGTTACCTAATAACATTAAATATAAGAATAGCTTAATCAAAATAATACTACTACAAGACCAACAGATACTTATTCAAATGCTTACTGTTTAATTTTACTGTAATTATGTTGAATATATCATGAGAAACAAAATTTATTATGATTAGATAGAATCCCAAATCCTACTTAAGGTCAGGGGTATATGGAAAAGAAAAAAATTTCTTGTGGGCCATATGTTGCTAATGAGATTATGACAAACTTAATTGTGCATTAATTAATTACTAAATCACCAACACTATGTATTCCAAAATTAGGAACTTGTTTTACTAAGTCTGCTGTCAAATGCATTGACTTGAAGCCCCATGGAAATGGAAGAGGACGGCAGTGACAGTAATGAAATGAAATGAAATTTGTTTCTCAGCTTCTAGATGGAATGGCCTCTTCCTATTCAAATAGGTAAACCACTTTCAACAACCTGAAAAGATGGACGGCTGTGATTAATGCAATCACTCTGGACAAAACACACATGTACATCAAATTAATTACAATGATGACGATGATCCATATGTTAAAAACGTAAATATGAGCTGCAATATTATATTTACAGATTTTAAATAATATGTTTTTTCATAATTACCAAACATCATAATATTATATAATCATGTCATTGTAACGCATAACTCTTTCTTAATTCGAAAATTTCAAGTAGAGGTCAGTTTAGTAAAATTAACTTAGTATCTCTTTCTCTCACAGGTCTGCAAATCATTTCCTCCAAATTCCTCACTAATTACCCCATTAGTCACGTAAATAATTAACAGTTAAATAATCATATCCAACCATATAAATTCTAATAATAAAATAGTAATAAAAAAACATAGGAGCACTGGTAAAAAAGAAAGAAATTTTCAAAACACCCAGTTTTTCTCAACTGACCCCGCGTTTTCTTCCTTCTCCTCCCTGCATTCCCCGTCGCCGCCACTCGACCAACCCCGAAACGCCGACGTCTTTGTTCTTTTTTGTTTTTAATTCTTTCTGTTATGGGAAACTGTAACGCATGCGTTAGACCGGACGACATCCCTGAAAGTAAAACGAACCGGTCCGAACACAGCCAGAGAGGTAAGAAAAAAACCCGGGAAAGGAAACCGAACCCATACGCCGAGAAAGTCCCCTCGCCGGCTCCGATCCGAGTTCTAAAAGACGTGATTCCACTTAGTCACCGAACTCGAATAGGCGACAAGTATATCCTCGGACGCGAACTCGGCCGAGGGGAGTTCGGAATCACCTACCTCTGCACGGATAGGGAAACTCGAGAAGCCCTCGCGTGCAAGTCAATCTCCAAGAGGAAACTCCGAACAGCCGTCGACATCGAAGACGTCCGACGCGAGGTTGCCATAATGTCAACGTTGCCGGAACATCCGAATATTGTGAAGTTGAAAGCGACATACGAGGACAACGAAAATGTCCATTTGGTTATGGAGCTTTGTGAAGGAGGGGAATTGTTTGATAGGATAGTAGCGAGAGGGCATTACACGGAGCGCGCGGCGGCGAACGTGGCGAAGACGATAGCGGAGGTGGTTAGGATGTGTCACGAGAACGGGGTTATGCATAGAGATTTGAAGCCGGAGAATTTTTTGTTTGGGAGTAAGAAAGAACACGCGCCGCTAAAAGCGATTGACTTTGGTTTGTCTGTGTTTTTTAAGCCTGGTAAGTAGGAAGATTTTAATTTTCCCCTTTTTTTTCAGGATTTATGTGGGTTTTTGATGGTTTGGCTGGTAAAGTTTGGATTTTTTTTTAATTTTTTTAAAATTGGGTTGTTAGAATTTTTCTTTTTATTTTTTATTTTCATTTTTCCAGCTTCTGGTTAAAGAAGGGTTTATGAATTCATTTTTGATTTGGCTTCTTAGATATTTGTTTAGGTGTTGAATCCTGGGTTTGGGTTTCGTGAGATTTATTTATGGGTTGTAGCTTGATTGCGCGATTGATATTTCTAATTTTGGATTTATTTTTATAGGGGAGAGGTTTTCAGAGATTGTGGGGAGTCCATACTATATGGCTCCTGAGGTTTTGAAACGAAATTATGGACCGGAGGTTGATGTGTGGAGTGCGGGAGTGATCCTTTACATTTTGTTATGTGGGGTTCCTCCCTTTTGGGCAGGTATTCCTTTTCGCACTTTGTGTTTATTTGTGGTTGTACAGTTGCAGTGACCGCACTCATCAAGCTTTTGTGTTAAAATGTTTTCTTCTTTTGAATTCTGATTTCGCTTTTCGTGTTGTTGCTTTTTTCAGAGACTGAACAGGGTGTTGCTCTTGCAATTTTGAGAGGGGTCATTGATTTTAAGAGGGAACCTTGGCCTCAGGTTTCCGAGAGCGCCAAGAGTCTTGTTAGACAAATGTTAGAACCAGATCCTAAGAAGCGGTTGACTGCTCAACAGGTGCTTGGTAAGTCCTCCAGTAGTTCTTGAGATGATGGATTTTCTGTCAGTACAACCCTATTTTCATATTTAGCTAAAAGTATTCAGACAGCATGTTGAGTATCGTGGGGTGCTTGCTGCCTCAGTATTAGGAATTATTATTGTTTTAAAGATTGAGGTCAGGTTAAATTAGGGATTCAATATGAATAACAAGAAAATTGGATTAACTATCACCACTTCATATTTTACTTTAATCAAGAGCAACTGAGGAATTTCTGAAATTAATAATTCACTGGATTGAGTTTTATTGGATCTTTTAGCAAACAAGCATGCAAGATCATTTTGTCATTCTTTCTAATGCTGGCATGGCTGAATATTACCAGAGTCTAGACTTACAAAAAGTTGTAGTTTCTTTGATATTGCTTGTATTCTTGAATTGGGAAAACTCGAGTCAAACTGTCTTTCTGCTGCTTTCTTTCAGGCTATTTGTTTTGATCAATCTCTAATCTTCCACAAGTCTGTGGCTATCCTAAGTTTATGTTGTTATATGAGGTACCCTTGGTTAAAGGTTCTTGCTTGGATGGTAATTCACCAGTAGGTTAAAGTCAAATACATGCTTCCTGAAGAAATATGGGAACTTTTTTCGCCTCCTTTCTTGCCAATACCTGTCTGAGAAGTGCTAAATCTTGGTCATTTGCTTCTATTTTTTAGGTTTTATTCTTGACCTGTCCAGTTAAGATATTTTCTGCTCGAATTTTTCCCCTTTCCAAGTCTGGACCATTTTAGGGAGTTCTGGTAGTAGTTGTCTCCAACTTTAGCTTAGTTTTGCCTAATGTTCTTTACAACCTGCACAATTCCTAAAGCATTTGTAATCTTGAAACAACAAATCCCTTCCATAATGATTTCAAGCAGCATGCTCACGTTATACTATGCTGCAGAGCAGTTGGATACACGGTATTTGGCATCTGATAATGAATTATGCATTGTTTGTTTGGTCAAATGCTGATAGTGGCAAATGTTGACATATGTATGCATGCATTTATCTAGTCTACACGTTAATAAACTTTATTTTTAAGTGATAAAGTAAATTTATCATGAAGTGAGCATTGGGGGGCAATATCATTCATATAGATGAGTTACTTAGTGGGAAAAGGCTTAGTTTGTTGTTGTTGTTGAAGAAAGAAATTCAACCTTTCAAATAACATCTGACATAGGAATAAGCAAAATTCATTAGATACTTACTTGCACAGCAATATTTCACCTTTTAATATTTCTATCACCAGAAATCATTTATTTTAATAGGTTATATATTAGCATTGCTAATTTTTTGAAATTCTCACAGGATCCTGTTTCTGACTTTCCTTTTTTAAAGTAGTTGTGTTGATTTTCACTTATTAATGTCTTCCTTCTTTTTCCTTTCTCTTGGGCACAGAACATTCCTGGTTGCAAAATGCAAAGAAAGCTCCAAATGTTCCATTAGGAGATATTGTGAGAACAAGGCTCAAGCAGTTCTCTGTGATGAATAGATTCAAAAAGAAGGCGTTGCGGGTAATGGTTTTTAGTTGGATTATGTGAAATTGTTTGTTCAGGACCAAAAATCATTGCACCCCCACGCAATTTGCAAGTATCTGCTGGTGATTCAATTTTGCAAATGCTGCAGGTAATTGCAGAGCACTTATCTGTAGAAGAGGTTGAAGTAATCAGAGATATGTTCACATTGATGGATACCGACAATGATGGAAAAGTTTCATATGAGGAGCTGAAGGCTGGGCTTCGAAAGGTCGGTTCACAATTAGCTGAACCAGAGATCAAGATGTTGATGGAAGTGGTATGGCTCAATCCTTGCTTACATCGAATCTGAAGTTTCATTTTTAACTTTGAGTTAAATGCACTCGTTTTGCGTGCATGTGACTTTTATCATGCTTCAGCCCATTTATGTTACTTTCAAGTTCTCTGTTCTGCTACATGCTTCCTCTAAGTAGCATGCTGCAATATGTGCTGAACATCCTCTACTAAATAAATTTTTTTCCTGTGGTTTAAATATAAAGTTGTCAAATTGATCATATTAGCATGCTAATCAAGCAAATGGTAATTGTGATTCAATATTTTGCATGTAGTTCTTAGTCCCTTTGTAGTATGATCATTCACTCAGTTACATTATGAGATTGCCATCATAGCTTTACTTTATATCAATTTATTTACTTATTGTCAAGTTATTTTTTATTTAAGGGATGTCACATTATGCACCATTGATTGTGTATTTCAATCATTAATTGGTGGAATTATTAGGAAAGTTATACTGTCAATGGTCCTTGGCTCCTTCTAGAAGCTGTAGTTTTATGTCTTGCATGAACCAAAAAATCAGCTCAGCTCCCTCCCCCCTCTTTTTGTTCTTGAAGAACCATTCCTTAAATCATCTATTGCTGAAATTTCAAATAAAAATCATCTATTGCTGAATAATTTACCATCTTTAACAATTATATTATTAAATTTTTATCGCAAGCACTACCTCTGAAACCAAAAATGTTGTAATTCCTTTTGGCCAATGATGTTGACCTCTACTTACACATTAATGGACTAGTTTTATGTCTCAGAAGCTACATCCTTTGTGAAGTTAAGAAATGGGATTACCTAACGGATGTATTGCGTATCTATGATGATTCGTAGAATTTATTTTCTTGCTTATTTTTTGAGAAAGATTTACATATTTACTTGTTTGCAATGCTTCTTATTTATTGGTTTTGAAACTTTTCTTAAAGCCATTGTTGGGCTAATAATAGGCTTTAGAAATATTGTTTTCCTTCATTATTATGTTTGGAGAGCCAAGCTGAGAGAGTAAGCTTATGTACTTGATATCATGAAGTCCTAATTGATCTATTGCAAATTCATTAAAAGCAACTTTTATCAGAGTTTATTTTTGGTTGCCCTGTCATATATGATTAAGAGAAACATGCACCATTGCAGTAGACCTTAAGAGGTTTTCAATAACATATGGCAACTTGAGTATTAATCACTAAACTGGATAATTGTAGTTCTGTCTACACTGTATTTCACACGTGTAATTTTTTTTGGTTTTTTGGATAGTTTCACATGTTTAGTTAACTGAAAGATCACAACTTAACATGATACATTATTAAATTTGATTACATGTTTTTTCTATAGTCTCTGTGTTGATCCAATACTTATTTGTAATAGGCTGATGTTGATGGAAACGGGGTACTAGACTATGGAGAATTTGTAGCAGTGACAATTCACTTGCAGAAGATGGAGAATGATGAGCATTTCCGCAGAGCATTTATGTTCTTTGACAAAGATGGGAGTGGATATATTGAACTGGATGAGTTACGGGAAGCCTTAGCTGATGAATCAGGTGAAGCTGATGTTGATGTGCTGAACGATATCATGCGTGAAGTTGATGCTGACAAGGTTTGACTTCCTAGCCAAACTAATTCCTATTGTTTCCTATGTTCAGGATGACTCCTTTTTTGCCACAATTTTGTTTTCATAAATATCACTTTCATGGTGCTTAATTGACACAGAAATATAACATCTGAGCAATTATTGCTTTAGAAATTTGTCAAAATAGATTCTGTTAAAAGAGGTTCAAATTTCACTGCAATGTTGAGGATTGTTAATTTTCACTAAAATTACTAGTCCCCTCTCTATTTCATATATTTTCTTCTGTAAGTTTGCATTTTCACCATATTAGATCAGTTATCTCATTTTTTTGTCCTTGTCCTCATTTATTCAGGATGGTTGTATCAGTTATGATGAATTTGTTGCCATGATGAAAGCTGGTACTGATTGGAGAAAGGCATCAAGGCAGTATTCGAGAGAGAGGTTCAAGAGCTTGAGTCTTAACCTGATGAAAGATGGTTCTTTGCAGCTCCATGATGCGGTTACTGGCCAAGCTGTTGCTGTTTGAGCTATATATGGGACCTATGACTTTGTTAAGCTTGTGCCTGCTGGATGTTTCTCTCACCCTTTTGTTGTCGATAAATGATTGTATATCTGGAAAAATAGCAGACGGGTGGCTTCACAGAGTGGCATTTAGGTTTAACAATGAGCTCTTGGAGGCAGACAGAATATTCTTTGATAACATGTTGACATGGCTGGCTTTGGTTGGTGTTTTGCTGCATGGAAGTGTGGATTAATCCGTTAGAGTGGTTAGCAGATGGTAGCATGTGAAGGCATGTCCATGTATATTTGTTCGTGTCATGTTGTTTGATGATTTACCTGGTATTATTTTATTTCCATTTTGTGCAGAATCTAGTATAGGGTTGTTCATAAGCAATGTGAGTCTTTGGAAAAATATTCCCAAGGTTTGTTATCCCATCCATTTGTGGTCTAATTTTCTCATGTAAAAGCTCCTATTGTTTGTTGGAAAAGGAAACTGAGAGAGACAGAAGAAAGGGTTGTTACTTATTGATGTTGTGATCAAGATTTATCACTGAAATGTAGGTAGGATGTGACCATCAACCCATTTAGGGGTTGCCTTCATAAATCATAACTAATTTAAACTTAAATATTGAGATAAATTAAAAGGAGAAAGGATAGTTTTACTTTTAATCTCATCCATTTACCATTAGATTAAATATGGATTGTAAATCTTTCAATATGGCCAATCTATTATGTCAATTTTTCCTAGTTTTTATCCGTCCAACCTGCTACAATTATCTTCTACAACGACTTCAAATGAATTGAAAGTTTATCTGATTGATTTAAACATTCCTTTTTTTTTCTCTTTTTTTTATTATTTACATCAAAACAATGTTATCTCTCCAATTTTTTTTGTCACATGTTTTCTTTATTCTATTAAATATCACAGCTAAATTTCCTCAAAAAAAGAAAAAAAGAAAAAAAGATGTCTTGCACACAATGCTAACTGTTTGGTATCCTTGTCAAGATCACCATGGTGACCTACATACATTGTGATCTTGTTATGTAAAAATACAAATGCAAATAGACTCTCTCTCTCTCGCACACACACACACGCACACATAAATATATATATCCCAATGATAAAAAAAATTTATATAAATTCAAACATACAATGAACAATATTGTCATAGAAAAAGAAAATGAATTTCTGAAACAAAAAATTACACCGACTCAAAGTTGCTTCATTTTGTTATATCTTTCTGATTCAGAAAAGTATCAATATACCTTTTATGTTTATTTTGATTAATTGAAGATAAGTTAATTTATTTAAAAAGATCTATAATTTTATAGGTTAGAAATATAAGAGTAACTCAATCTCATGTATACACTTTTTGATGGAATTTAAAAAATATCTTAGTAAGTCTTATTTATATCAAATGTTAAAGTTTTTACATGAAAACTATTGTCTTTTCACCTTTGTAAGCAAAAATTCAACAAAGAAAAATTTGGGTTATTATTACACACATTTGTTGGAGACCTTGAAGATCAATTTTCGTACACAATAATATTAAAAAATTCTTTATATAATTTCATGTGCATTATTAAGTAATTTACATTTATTACTCATAATCACATATTTATATGCAATTATATATGTTAAATGAAGATAAAAACCATTGACTATATGAAAGTTAATTTAGATTCCCTTAATTAACCGCTCTCCCACATGTTTATTGCATTGTTGATTACTTTAAAAAAAGAAAATTTAAGCATATTCACTATCAATGTTCATAATATTCAATAATATATGCTTATTTTATGAACGTTACTTGCAATTGAAAGTAGATTAATTGAATTTTCTCTATCAAAGTTCAAGTGACATCTTTCCAAGTTTGGACAATTTTTCTCCCAAATAGTCTAGCACATCAATAATTGAGAGCTTTTTCCTTTTTTGGGTACAATATAGTTAATGTATGAGCTACAGTGTTATACCAAAGGACTTAACAATTTAAAGGTTAATTAATTGCAAACTCAATTAGGCATAACTTATGCAAAGAAATTAGAATGGGTTCTTTTTTATTATAATTTTCAACATTTTTATATTTTTGATTTGGAAATTTCATACTCGATATTCAAGATTTAAAATATTCTATTAGGAGTATATTATTCTAACAAGACATAATATATTAAAAGGGTTTATATTTGATATACTGATAATGTATAGTTTCTATATTGTGATAATTTCAATTTTTATGTAATGGTAAAATGTAAACCTACTTGGTGAGTTTAGGAGAATCTATGAATATGAAACTAGTAGCGAGATTTTCTTGGAAAGCCAATGTTTTTTTAAAAAGGTTTTAAGTTAAACAAGACAAGGGAGGAAAGATATGGTCAAAAGAGTGAATTTTTGCTAAGAAAATTATATTTTGTTGTAAAAGTATCGATACCTTAATAATAGGTATCAATACTTATGAGGATAGAATACCTTGGAAAGTATTCTATGTGAAAAGTATCGATACTTAAAGAGGAAGTATCAATACTTAAAGGACAAAATGCCTTGCAAAACATTATGTATGAAAAGTATCAATACCTCAAAGGGAAGTATCAATACTTAATGGTCAAAATGCTTTAGAAAAAGCATGCCTTGTGAAAAGTATCGATACTTATCAAAAAGATCAATACTTGAGGTGAAACGTATAAAAATAAAACCCCTTCAGACTAAACGCCCATTTGCTTTTCGTTTCTCATAATGTACCTCTCTTTTTTCCCTCTCCCAAATTTCTCTTATAACCATCCAAGAGTAACTTGAACTCAAGTTTTAAATTAATTAAGGTAAGGTTTGCAATCTTTCGAACACATTTACCAATTGGTTTTCGAATTAAATCTCTCATTAAGAGAAATTTTTATTTTTCTCTTAATTGTGAGGATTTTCAAATTGGTTTTCCTGACATAAGCTCACCAAGATAAGTGAAAGGAAGGATTAAGTATATGGTAATATGAACTATGGGTTATAGAAACTTATGAGCTAAACTAGAGTTTGAGAAAACAATGTTTTTGTTGATTACATGTGTTGATTGGTTTAGGTTCCATTAGGCTCCCAAGTTTGATAGCTAGAAAAGCTTGGTTAGGTGACCTTGCATTATGTTGGTGGAATATAAGATGGGTGGACTTGCATTGAAAAATGTTTTACTATGAAAAGCATGACAAAATATGTGTTTGAAATGAATGTGCTTAGAAAAATGTTTTTGTTATGGTTTAACTATCGAGGATAGGCAGATATGTATGTATATATGTTTTCATATGATGAACTTGCATGGGAACAAGCCTTGCAAATTGCGTAGTACGTCAAGGATATCATGTTGTGTGTGGTTGTGTTTTCAAAGGTAAATTCTTAATGTTTTATAAACTTATGTGATGTTGAACATTTTGAGGATTTGTAAAATTTTATATGGTGATGGCAATGTAACTTTGTGAGTTGTGGACTCCTTGATGGAGGGATTCGAAATGATTTGTATGTACTGAGTGGCATCGTAGTAAAGCTACATGCCTTATGATTTTTGATTATGAGAATCATGTAAAGGACTTTATAATGGCTTATATGAGATAAAAGCTTTTGGTGAAGTAGCTTAGGTGAAGGACTTGTCCCAGTTACGATATCACTAGACATTGTACTCAATGGGATCATCCTAGCTAGCCTTGTAGCTGAAGGATGGCACAAGCATTTATGAGGTCATTAACCATAGGCGCTAGACCGTATCATGAGGATTAGCTACCTAAATATCATCCTTGATAGTTAAGAATGAAATACACCATCCGTTGGCTTAAGGTCCATGGGACCAAGTTTACACATAGTGCTTCACTAGTATGCTCCACATAGCTACATTTGATGAGTTATGAAATAATATTGTAAGTATTTTGATTTAATGACAAAGTCAATTTTAAAGTATGTTTTCAAAAGGAATAGTGTGGAATAGAAATGTTTTGAAAGATGCTTTGTGATTAAATGTATATGGTTGTTGTTAAGAATTTTGGAGAAATATTAAAGTACTTCAAGCTATAGAATATGAAGCAAGTATTGATACTTTTGAATAAGGTATCGATACTTGTTCTTTAGAGCTGTTTTTAAGAATATTTTTGGCAAAAATATCGATACTTTTAGGACAGAATAGGTGCAAGGGATATTTTGTGGCTAAAATATCTATACTTGCAACTTGTTTTCTCAAATATGTGGATTTTCAACTTCGTTTACCTGTAGAAGCCTTGCTACCACAAATTAAAACATAAGTATGCATAGAAATGATTTGGAAATTGTACGCGCATTCATGGATATAGCTTTAAACTAAAATTGCATAGTTTCAATGAGAAATTGCATAGTTTTAATAAGCTCCCTTGTTCAATTTGCTTCCCTTCTTATGTCCTTTATTGAGTTTATGCTTACCATTTTCAAATTACATGTTTTAGTTTCTCAAATCCGAAGGTGGCCAGATTGTAAATTGGGAAGTCTTACCCATACCCTTATCCTTCAACTAGTAGGTGTTATCATGGCATTCAGGAACAGTCATTTCCACACCTAGAGTTATTCTGTTGTACGATTATGGGTCCATGTGTATGTGATAGGAGTCTTGTACAAACATTGATGTAGCCCGGGAATGGATTGTGACAAATGTATTGTTAGCTCACCAAATGCTGCTACCTTATTAATGAAGTAAAACTAAAAATATTTAAGAGTTTAAAACTAAATATTAAAAGTTTCCTTAAAAAATAAAAAAAAATCTTTTTTCCTCTCTTCAACTCCATTATCTTCTTCTTCTTTTAGGTTTGATAAAATTGTGTAACTTCAAATGTAATAGGATAATTAAAAATGTCAAGGTAATTTTTTTTTTTGAAGTGCTAAGAACAAGTATATGAAATGCTTTCAATAACAGCACAAATAAGGGCAAATCCTCTTTTGTTTACGACACCCTCAAAAAATTTTTAAAAAAATTATATCGTATAAAATTTTTAAAATTTTTCATATATTATCTTAATGGTCCCTTCAAAATAATTTTTTACTTAATAATTAATACAAATAAAGAATAATAAAATGATCCCATATGTCTCACTCAACTTTAAAGTTTTTTTGTTTTCCTTTTTCAATTCATATTGTTATTTTTATTTATATTTGTTTATTTTTTTCATTTCTATTTTATTTACTCATATTTTCTAAGTTTCTATAAATATTCTTATCCAAATTTCTACAAATCATCAACCATATTCTTTTTCTTTCGTTTTTATTATGTCATATATGAGTTCTGTCTTCTACTTGCTATGTTCTTTTATTTTTGTTATGTAGATTTTATTTTTTATGATTTTAATTTTAAAATTTAATAAATTATTATGTAATTCTCAAAATATAAGTAATAATGTTGCACTATTACTTAAAATTTCATCAATGTATCATTTTTTTATTAATCCAGATTATGTAAGACTAAATATCTTGAGTACATCTTTTTTATGTTCTTTACATCTTATATTTAGTTAAAAAGAAATTATCTTGAATACGTAGTCTTTAAAAAATCT